AAAGATTCCTTTGAAAATATACAAATTTATTTATATATTGGAATTGTAATAGAGAGAATTGGCGTAAGAGATAAGAAGGTATGAAATTACAAATCAACTTATACAGGGTAAGTCATCTAACTATGCCACCTAAATTTATTTGTAAACTATTTATTATATAAAAAAATATTTCAAATAAAAGTTGTTCAGTATCAAACCGGGCATGCAATTCAATAGTTAATTTTCTTATATTTTTCTCTTTAATCGAGGTATAAAGGTGACAAAAGCTTTTGTATATCCCGGTAATAATTAGTTTTTGTTCTTGTGTACCTTAATCATTTTTCACTCAGCATACGTCGCTTTTATGAATCACAAGATTAAATATTACACATATCACCAAAAGCCCCCTTTCAAATCTCGGTAAAAAAGCGAAGTATAAAAACTAATTCTATTGTACATCTTACTCAATATCAAATAATTGTTGTTTGAAACATTTTTTTATGCAACAGACAATTTTCAAGTAAATTTAGCTATTATACTACTTACCCTGTATAGTATTTACCAAGATATACAAAATTTACTAGATGAGAGGGATATATTTTTGCTAGAGAATCAATAACAGAAGAATAACGTCCCTAGAAACAAGGATTTATTATTCCTATAGTTATATTCTTCAGCCTCAAAATAGGACACTACATTCATGCCACAAGTTTCGTACTTATGATTCAAACTTCTGATATGATATCAGTTTTTGCCTAATGAGAAAGTGTTCTCTGTCTCTCTCTCCCTTCATGGGACTTATTTACAGAAAACTATGTTCAAAAAATGAAAAAATGCAACACTTGCCAATCTCCATTTTCAATGGTACAGTGATAAGAAATGATCTTGTACTGCCTACTGAGTAGCTACCTCCAAGTCTGTTCTTCTCAATGTATTTATGATCACGAACCCATAATCTTCTCTGATGTGGTAGTCCATGTCAGACTAGTCATATTCGTTGGCAAGTTTTTTGACAATATGAACGTGTCCACTGACATGAAGGAATGGGACAATATGCCAATAACTCTCGCATAATCAACAGTTGTTAAATTTCCCATTTTAGTTAACACTTTATCTACAGTTTACCTACAATGATCTAACAATTCTTTGACAAAATAAGTTTTGATAATCGAGAATTTCTTAATCAGTTTGTTTATAGTGATAGTAATTTTATTCACACATCAACAAGTTATTTTCAGCAATATAATGTTACTTGTTTAGAAACTATCCTCTAAAAGGCAATCAATAAGATTCTTTGATTAAAATTCCCAATTTCCGGTAGTTAAAGTGTTATAACGAGACATAACGATATTTAGAATATGTCCATGTTGATCGTGAACAATCTCACAATCATCATTGAGAGTTTTATTTCTTTTCCCAAATGTCGAATTCAAATAGAGCTATAGTACAATCTTCGGTAATGACACTCTCAATTTGTTTTAACTCATTTTTGAGTGTATAGCAACCTCCTATGGAACACTATAATCATGCTTAATATGTTCATTGTGTTTCATGAACATGTGTAATGATATAGTTTGTGTAGGAAAGGGATTAAGAAGATAAAAAAAGTCAAAAACTAATCATTTATCCTAATAAAGAAGACGATAGAACGAATTGTATATGAGAAAATTTATTTAAAAAGAAGCAGTATTTAATAACATTGTGGAAATAAAGATTAGACTACTATATGGT